TGGGGCACTTTTGACGCGCCCCGTCCTTTTAGGGACGATTAAGGGATGAAGGATAGGAGGGACGGGGCGTGTCAAAAGTGCCCCAAGGCTTCGTCTGATCGCCAAAATAATGGTCGCAATCGATTCCTCGGGTCAATATCTAACCTCAGTCGAAAATTCCAGACCTGTGCCTCCTATCCTTCATCCCCCAATCGTCCCTTAAAGGGACCCTCCCACCTTAACATTAGTTTTGAGTTGAGATAGCCAAGTTTGCGGCCAGGCTCAGAAACCACCATTTATCCTGGTCGCAACCCCCGCAGCTTTATGCTGTTCAAGAAATTTCTTCCCTTTACTTGCAGGGTGGGACCAGCGTGGTCCCTATCTCTTAACCATTACGGGAATCTGATGACGTCATCAGGCTTTCGGACGTCCGTTAAATGTTTGACTAAAACGTTTTGTAGCACGAGGTGGTATATGCTGCTTTGCACGCAACAAATACCGCACCGCACTTTTAAATAAAGTTGCTAGGAACAGCGGAGATCCCAAAAAGTAAACAAAAGTAAAAGTCTAATATCTTGAAAACCGGTGAATATTTTTCGATGAAATTTGGTAGATATTCGTTTTTGCTCTTTCTGAACCGAGTGACATCACTTTCATGCCAATTCATTAACTTTTCTGAAGGTGGGAGGGTCCCTTTAAAGGACGGGGCGCGTCAAAAGTGCCCCAAGGCTTCGTTTGATCGCCAAAATAATGGTCGCAATCGATTCCTCGGGTCAATATCTAACCTCAGTCGAAGGTTCCAGACCTGTGTCTCCTATCCTTCATCCCTTAATCGTCCCTTAAAGGACTGGGCGCGTCAAAAGTGCCCCAAGGCTTCGTCTGATCGCCAAAACAATGGTCGCAATCGATTCCTCGGATCAATATCTAACCTCAGTCAAAGGTTTCAGACCTGTGCCTCCTATTCTTCATCCCTTAATCGTCCCTCCAGACCTGTTCCTCCTATCCTTCATCCCTTAATCATCCCTTAAAGGACGGGGCGCGTCAAAAGTGCCAAAAAGCTTCGTCTGATCGTAAAAATAATGGTCGCAATCGATTCCTCGGGTCAACTCAGGTCAAGGTCACGGAAAAGGTCATGTAGCATGTCATTAGATTCGTATAGTTTAGCTGAACACGTTCATGGTGTTTTCACTAGCGCTCTAGCATGTTTCTAGCTTAAGTTATTGTCAAAAAACTGTTGGAGACGTTTCATGACCTGGCATGACCTCAGAGCCATAAAGGGGTCACAGCTGCAATTTCCTGGTTCAGTGTGTCATGTTCGTTCATCCGTGTCACGATGTTTGAGCGTGTTTTCGGCCAAAAGAAAACCATTTCAATTTTTCCCATTGGCTTACCTCTATCACGGATCGCATAACGGATCGGCAACTCCCCCGCGACCTGTCTCCCCTGCCACCTGGTGGGTATTTAGGTGAACTATCTTCACTAAGGACGCGGCCGGCCTCGGCGTGTTGAGGGCGTCGTGTCGGAGCTAATTAAGTGATTTTTCTGCGGAACGTGGTTTCTCAGCTAGCTCAGAAGATATCTATGGTATAAATGAGAATGGCAAGAATCGTTAGAGACAGGTTAAGTATTTGAGATTGTATCCTTTGTCATGAAAATCGTTGTTTTCATACCCACGTGGACGACCTAGTGTCCATCGCGAAATTGGTAATTTTCCGATCGTTGTCATCTCTTACATATATTTCATGAGTATATTTTTGATTAATATTCATCTGCCGATTAAATTAAATCTGTAACTTTCACAAATATACTTGCATAAAGTATAAACCCACGCCGGGCCGGTACACGGTACCAACCGCGCCGGGCCGAGGGTGTATGAAACCCCCGCCCCCCCCAAACTCGGCTTCTGGGCCATGTAACCACACGGGGTAAGCGGCATTCCAAAGAGCGTTAAAAATAATGGCGGAAATACCTAGGTCATTTTTAGGTCAGGTCAAAGGTCAGGTCACCAGAGGTCATTAAAGGCAAATTTTGTTTATTTCAACAACTTTCGAAACACCCGACGCATAACTTGGGAACCAATACAACTACAGCGCCGCGGAAAAGCGCATTCGATAGCTCTTTCACAGGTCTTTCTGAGTTTTATTCTTAGATTTGACCTCAGGTCAACGGTTTAGCCTCCAGAGGGCAAAAACTCCAAAAATAGCCGTGTTTACGAAAAACGTTTTTTTTCGGTAATAACTTTTGACTCAAACGAGCCACGACATTACTTTTGCCAGCATCGTGTTCCTCTCGTCGAGACGCGTCGAATGAACTATAGGTTGACCTTGAAAGGTCATTTTGAAAATTTTACGTCAGGTCAAGGTCATGACCTGACCGGAAAAGGTCATGCTGCATATCAGTCGATCCATATCGTCGAGCACGAGCTGAACACATCTGACGTGTCTTCACCGCTCTAGCACGTCTCTATCAAGTTATAGTAAAAAAAATCTGCTGGTGAAGTGGTGACCGTTTTCATGTCACTGTTTACAAGTAACCCGATGTTTGACGGTGTTAAGAATGACCCGCCCAGACCAAATGAGACGACTTTCAATTTTCTCTTATTGACTTATTATTAGTATTATATATTATTATATATAGATATAGAGAGAGTATTGAGTATTGAGTATGAGGCAATATATTGGGTGCAAAATGACCTAACCTGGCTCTAAGCCACAGATATCTTGAGATGTAACACGTGGCTAAACCAGCCTCGGGGCCAAAGCTATAGTCACTGTTTAGCGGCACGCTGCTACCCAGTACCTCACAATTCACATCATCAGGTATGGGTGCCTCCGTTCCTATGGAAACGTAAGCAAACTTCACAATGTTACCAACGTCTTTATGGAAACCCGCTAAGTGTCTATACCTTGTAGCGGCGGGAAGGGTCGTATCGTGAAACAGGGGCCGAGATCCACCTATAGTCACGTTAATGGCCAGCTCGTTGGATTTGCTCCGATGTTATCTACTCCAACTGGTAGCCGGTGACCGTCTAGATAGGAACAGGGGATGAACTCGTACTATGGGCAGACGGATGAGGAAAGGTCTTCGTGCACGGCCAAAAACGACGTTAAAGTTGCGAGGACGTGCTTCTTGCTCATACAACTGAAGCATAACTAGAAACATTTGGATCATTATGCATGCTCCAGCTGATTAGGGAAAAAAGTATGTTAACATTTCCATGCTATGGTAACATTCCAGCTGTTAGAGAGACTCTGTAATTTAATCCGTTCACAACCTTTGTTTGTTTTTGTTTTGTTGGGTTAGGCCCTTTCGGTCAATGGAGACCATTGCAGAGCCGGAAGGATTATCCCTCGCCGGCACAGGCCATTTTGCGTCCTTCGACGGCACAAGGGGGGGTTGGTACAACCCCCCCCCTCGCGTTTGGCCCCTGATCGAGCTAGAGCTCGGCGGAAAAAACGAGCGTGTTGCCCGTCACGAGAGGAAGCCAATGATACCCAATTTTAAGGTCCTAGGTCATCAGATGACCTTCCAGGTCAGGTCAATGACCCGAAAACCGGGAAAATCGGGACCTGTTAGAAAGTCGTAAAGCGTGGCTGCTAAGAGGTTTTCCGGGGTGCTGATCACGAATATCGTGTTAGTTTTGATCAGAGATGATGTCTTTAAGCATTTAGACCAGGTCAGGTCAGGTCAGGTCAGGTCAACCGGTAGGGGTTGTGACGGGTATTCGTAATACGTGTCAACCACCTCTGACAGCTTCGTAACATGTTACGAAGACACCAAAACTACTTCGTAAATGTTCAAATAGTTGCTAAATTCGAATTCAGCTCCAAAAACTAGCCTAGAAACATGTAAAACTCGAAAAAGTGAACCGAGGTCACCCGAAGTCACCAAAGGTCAATGACCTGACCTGACCTTCAGGTGACCTTGACACCCACCCTAATGTATGGGAGCAACATCAAATCACATGTTTGAACGTTTGAAACCACGAAAAGCTTGCATACGCGCGGCTAATGCGAGCCGACATACGCCGAATCGCGATTCCGGCCAAACATGGTCTCGGAAAAGAGGTCACAGGTCAAAGGTCATTTGGGTCAGGGTCATGAAATTTTCAGGGTGGGTGTAAAATTGATCAATGCGAGGGTACTGAAAGTTTCGTCGCGATCGGCCGCTTTTTTCGCGAGTTATTCGCGAAAAACCTTAGGAGGGTTGCATCAACCCCCCCCCCCCTGTGCCGGCGAGGGTTATAGGAATTGGGGGAAACATTGGTCTGGACAGGCACCCTAGAGAGTCACCGGGGCTGAGCCCGTCCGAATGGACAGGCCGACCCACTCTCTGCACCCAGCTCCGGGTGTGCTCCCTTGAGAGCAGTGGTGCGCTACAAGGGAGCAGCCCGCATGAGATAAAGTTGCCTGTCCAGCCCGGATCGAGAGTTGCTGCGTGGAGAAGAAGGATTTGAACTTGATCTGAACATCCTGAGGATGGAAACGACGGACGGGTGTTGCGTTCACACCCGTTTCCCCCTGCCTTTTAACACTGGTTGCGGCGGGCGGCCGGCTTCCCTCCTTAGTGAAGATATCCGCGCCGCTAGATGGCAGCCCGTTCCGCGGGTACACCGATAACAATGGGAAGCGGGGAGAGATGCCGATCCGTTAGGTGATCCGTGCCTCTATAACGGAGAGGCAGAGGTAGCAAAGTTGACCTGACCTTAGGTTAGCGACATCAAAATTCCGAGATATACTATACGAATTGTTTATACTGATTTCCTCAAAAAAGCCCACGTTTCAAACTTCTGGGATGTAAACTGTAGGAATGACAGAATCACAAAGTTTTTAGAGGCATGATGACATGACCTGACAGAGGGGCTACCGTTCAATCAGTACGCTCAAGGGATGCCACCTACTGGCGGCACTCGGCGTGTCAGGCTTGCAGTGAATTTTTGGTTCCGGTTTGCGGCGCATCAGCCCGGCGCCGCGCTGCTGATCCCGTCTGGGAGGGGGCGGGGTGCGGTCGGTCTGCCCCGGCTCGCCGCCGCCTCTCAGTGCGGAGGGTGACCTTGGCGGAGCTTTGGGTCGTGTCGGTACTGGCGGCCGGGCCGGCACAGTGCGAGCCCGGCCGGCGACGCCATGGCACCGCGCGACGGCGCGCTGACCAGCCAGTTCGGCAGGTACACGGGCGGCCGGCGCCGCTGGATCTGGGACAAGTCCGGCGTCGCCTGGTTGGAGGTGAGACGCCGCGCCGGGGGGAGCGACGCGCAGACTGAGCACAGGGGCCCCCGTACCCGGCACGGGAGCGCCGGGGGAGCGAGCCCTTAGAACCCGTCACCGCAGCGCCGGGGTGGAGGGACACGGGCCCCGGAGGCCAACTGGCGGGACATACGACTGAGCAGTGAGCACAGAGGCCGTCACTTTTATCTCCACCCGTACCTAACTGAACGCTATACGACCGCCTCGCCGCTGGCTCTGAGGGGGGGGGGGGGGGGTGATTACACAATCAGACCTGTTTGATAACTTCCTATCTTGAACGTTCAAATGTCGCAGCTTGATGGGTTCGGTGGGGGTTGCGAGGCCTCAGTGTGTAATTTTAATGCGTGCTTGCCTTTACCGAACCGTTTCGGTGTAGTGGCAGAATAGCTTCCTTTCAAATACCTAGCCGTACAACAGGACCGTAGCATCAGTAACAGATTAGCTGATATCGATCCGATTCATCCGTTACTTTTACCAGCTACCTCTGCGGCCAGGACAAGAGGAAGATCGATGGCGCCGCTGGCCTATGGCGCGTGCACGATGAGCTGTACGACCTGAGCGAGTTTGCCGAGCGCCACCCGGGCGGCCGCTTCTGGCTGGACATCACCCGCGGCCAGGACATCACTGAGCTGTTCGAGGCCAGCCACTGCCTGGCCACCGGCCGGCCCGAGCAGCAGCTGGCCCGCTGCCGCGTCCGCGCCGCCACACAGCCGCGCAACGCGCCCTACACGTTCCAGGCCGATGGCTTCTACCGGACGCTGAAGCGGCGCGCGGCGCCCGTGCTGCGGCGCGTGGGCACCGGCGCCGGCGCCGCCACCCGGCTGGTGGCCGACGGCGGCCTGCTGCTCTTCCTGGTCACCGGCGTGGCGTCCGCGGTGCTGCACTCGAGACTGGCGGCGGCCGCCTCGGGCGTGGTGCTGGCGCTGCTGCTCGGCGTCGGCCACAACTTCCTGCACCAGCGCGACAACTGGCGCATGTACCTGCTCGACGTGCCGCTGCTGTCGTCGGCCGAGTTCCGCGTGTCGCACGCCCTCAGCCACCACATGTTCCCCAACACGGCCATGGACCTCGAGGTCACCTTGCTGGAGCCGGTCATATTCTTTTTGACGCACGCCAAGCGTCGCCGCGGGCTGGCGGACGCCGTCGTGTACCACTTAACTCTGCTGATCAGCTTCTTCATCGAGGGTATGAAGCGCGCGCTGCGCTGGATCCGCGGCGAGCAGCGGCCGCGGCCCGAGAACGCGCTGCCGCTGCTGCATGTGCTGCTGCTGGCCGGCTGCGCGGGCCTGTGGGGCCGCGCGCACGGACGGCCCGCCGACGCGCTCCTGGACGCGCTCGGCCTGTGGACGCTGACAGTGGCCACCTGCGGCTACGTGTTCGCGACGCTGGGCCTGGCGGCGGCGCACCACCACCCGCGCCTCTACCACGACGGCGACGAGCCGGTGGCCGAGCGCGACTGGGGCCTGCGCCAGCTGGACGCCGTCGGCGACCGGGCGGCCGTGCGCGGCAGTCCGCTGCTGGTGCTCACCACGTTCGGCGATCACGGGCTGCACCACCTCTTCCCGACGGTCGACCACGGCCAGCTGGTGCACCTGCGCGGTGTGTTCGACGCCACCTGCGCCGAGTTCGGCGTCCGATACCGCCACTTCTCGGCCTGGGAGCTGCTGCGCGGCCAGCACCAGCAGATGGGCCGCACCCGGCCGCGGCCGTCCGACCTCATGGCCGCACCGACTCCAGACGACAGCGGATCAGCGCGGCAGGAGACCGGGGAGCGCGCCCCACACCGGCCGCCGGCCACTGTGGCCACTCTGCAGGCCAACTCCAACCAGTCCAGCTGCATTTCCCAGTCTTGATACCTGGATCCCTCGCTGGAAGCAGGGAAAGTGAACACATCGGCAGCAGCAGCATGTCAGGATTGGAACTTGACCGAGAAGGGCCCCGGTCCATAGTCCGAGCCTTGGGTGGTATCCCAAACAATTGTTTTTAGTCTATAAACAAAGTTTTTCTTCCCATTTTTATAGGTTAACAATGTGGGTTTTGCCGCAAATGTAGCTGAGTTTTCTCCGGCATTGCTCCTATATTCGAGAGCGTGCTCTCTGAGTTATCTCCACTGAGCGGCAGCCAACAGTAGCCAGCGCCGGGGGCACGGTCCTGTCGTCTCTCTGAGATATATCTGCTGAGTGACAGTCAGCGCGCGGGGCATGGACCCATTTATGGGAGCGGGGGCATGGACCCATTTATGGCATCGTTAACCAATGTGGTGTTTACTGTGAAATGATTTAAGATGACGTATGTAAATAAAAGGCCGCTCAACAATTGGTCAGTCCTGCGGAGTTTTGTTGACGGGAGTATTTCAGTTAAATGCCTGCAACATCAAGTAACGTGGATACTGGGTTCAGGTGTTCCGTACGTTCGGTTATAATATACTTATAATACATGGACGAGGGATTCGATATCCGTGTTGGCGAAAACATTTCTGTCAATCACTTTCTGGTGCCACCGTTCCGTGTTTCTATCCTCAGGATACTGAAATCCTTCTCCTCCACGCCGCAACCCCTCTCCGGGCTGGACAGGCAACTTTATCTCATGCGGGCTGCTCCCTTGGAGCGGCACCGCTGCTCCTGAGGGAGCGCACCCCGTAGCCGGGTGCAGTGAGTGCCTTGGGGCTGAGTGGCCTGTCCTCCGGACGGGCTCAGCCCCGGCGACTCACAAGGGTGCCTGCCCAGACCAATGTCTCCCCCTAATTCCTATCATCCTTCCGGCTCTGCAATGGTCTTGTCGACCGAAAGGGCCTAACCCAACAAAACAAACAAAACTTTCTGGTGCGACTGCACCTACTACCTTCATGCATTATGACGGCTGGGCAAGTAACAATAATATGCTACGAAATAACAGTTGTCTCGGCCCCTTAGATCGCTCAGCTATTTCAAAATCTTTCAGGCTGCGACCCCATTTTTTGGTTCAACAAAAAAGTAAATTGAGACAAACATCGGGGTCTAACGAAGGTATTCTGTCATTTGAACCGGCCGAAAAAGTTGTGTTTGGAAGTCAGATGGCGACAACGCCCCAACAGCAGAGACGGCCAGGCACCCGTCGAAAATCAAAGTGTGAGACATTTTGAGCCACGGTGCACTCATTCAGCTTGATATGATGCCCAAAGGCGACTGTTAACACAGGGTGCCACTACGGTAATATTCTAGCATTACAAAAACTGGATGCCGTGAACCCAATGGCCATGCACAGGTTTGTTTTGGAAACCAAATATGTTGGAAGCCAAAGGTCGCGCCATGATCAGACTGGAGCTTCTCCACTTCAGATGTCAAAAGCAACGCAACAGTGGTGCAGGCAGAACTTTTTGCTTTGGGGGATAATGCCTTATGGCCTGGGAACACTTTGATGTAAAATTCATCCTAAATGATCTTATAATCCTCCGGCGAGAGGTCAAAGAAAACGGGCCTAAAGCCAGTTTCGGGAGACCCATAAAATAACTGAGACCAACAGCGCCTGGCATTTTCCCACCACTGCCGGCTGATCTTGTAACTAGCGTGTCTATTGCATGCGCTATTTCATAGCCACCCCAGTTGACTTTATAGGTCGATGAAAAAAAGCGCAAATATGTTTGCCTTATACAATTAAAAATGTTCAGGTAATTCTGGGACACTCTGTAGGTACGGCTCTCGCGAGATTAAGCGGTAGGTTTTGCACTTTGACATTTCCGGTTATATTTCAGAAACTAATCCATCTACGATGAAGCCATTTTACACGATCATGGCCGGCTTGTGAACCAACAAGTCGATAGCATCTTCAACACTTTAAAGCTTAAGACGACGAAGATATAGCCTGAAGTACACTAAATTTTCTAGGTGCAAAACCTACCGCTAAAACCCGCGAGACCTGTACATACCTACCAACTCCAGTCTCCGCAATGTTCAATGATAACCGCCCAGTTCAGAGTACCAAGCCGTTATTACGAGCGAGTGAGGTATTAGGTAGATTAGCAGATATTTCTGAGTATGAGCGGCCGGCCGGTCATGGGAACGCTTTAAGAAGCTTATATCTCCGCAACCACTAAACCGATTTTCTTACGGAAATTTTCGTAGGCTAGCTAAACTTCATTCCTTCTATCTAGTATTGGACTATTCTAGATGCATGTGAGTGACCCCTCATGAACGTGCCACATGCAAGACGAAGCGATGTCAGTTTTGTAACAATTACAATATATCGGTAATTACTGGGCCATAGATAACAGTAGTACTACTGTTATCTGTGACTGGGCATATTGCGCTGAAACTTGGTACAGTAAGTAGGTACACACTAGGCACTGCATTTCCATATGTCACGGTTGGGGTGCTGATGCACGTGCGCACGTGCAGGGGTCGCTTCCAGATCCCAAGAACGGCTAAACAATTGAACATATTGCGCTTAAATCTGGCACATCGTTAGAAACCGGCTAGAAGGGAGCCGTGCACAAGTCAGTTGGAAGTACCTCTCGCAATTACGCACGTGAAAGGTTCGCCCTATTGCTCGCTCGTTTGTCGCCCCAATTAGAGGCGTGTTACTGGTCCTTTTGGTTCTTATGGCGTCCGGTAACGATTCCCGGGAGCTGGAACTACACCTTTTTAGCCGCGATTTAAAACAGTTGAACTCCATTTTAAAAAAGCTGATCTGTGATTTAAAACTGTTGAACGGGGTTTTAAAACACATGACTTCCGTTTTAAAAGAATTGAATACGATTTTAAAACAACTGACGACGTTTTTAAAACAGTTGAATTTATTTTTAAAATAACTGAACTGCACCTTAAAAAGCATGATAGGGCCAGTAACACTTCAGCTACACTAATAATGATAATAGCTATATGCTCCCCCGTTTTGCGTCGTCTGCTAGAATTGAATGAAGCGCTGCTTCTTCAAACCGGAAGAGTTCGAGTACATAAATACAAAATGTAAAATGTTGTTCTCATGACTTTCCATTTTCCCACTTTTTCTGTTCAGTATATATGCAAGACTGCCACTCCCAGCGCACCAGGCCATATATAGATCACTTGGGTCACTTGTCACTGGGCTCAACATTCGAGCGACTGTACATATACATAGATTCTACATAGTAGGTATTGCATTCACTTTATAAAAGGCATATTATATTCGCATTTACTTCAAAGGAAAGTAGGTATCTACTTTAGACAATGTCATCACCCAGTATCGGTGACTTGATAGTCACCGATGATGAAAAAACTGTCACTGCTGTAAGAGAAGAAATAGCTCAGGCGGCTGCATAAGCTATGCTGGGTGTATAAGGTATGCTGTGTACCGGCTGCATGTAGAATGCCCGAAGATGTGCAAAGATAGATGCGTCACAAAAGCATGACGATTTTCTATGCAAAGTTACATGTGTACATACATAGTTTCGAATAATTTCGATGTCAGCTAACGACTGTTAAGCAGTGAAACCACTGTCAATGTTATCTGAATAGCCTTGCAATAAATGCAGTGGGATTTTTTATCTTTAAAAACATTGCAAAAAGCAATAATCATAACACATCGGCAAACAAAAATTAGTTACACTTTCAACAGAAAAGGCAAGGTATTAGATAAGGTTGCATGACAACAAAATGCAATAATAATGAATGAGATAATGCTACATTTAGCACACTTTAAAATGCAGTTCAGTTCTTTTAAAAATAAATTCAACTGTTTTAAAATCGTCGTCAGTTGTTTTAAAATCGTATTCAGTTCTTTTAAAACGGAAGTCATGTGTTTTAAACCCAAGTTCAACAGTTTTAAATCACAGATCAGCTTTTTTAAAATGGAGTTCAACTGTTTTAAATCGCGGCTAAAAAGGTGTAGATCCAGCCGGTGGGCAAAATAATCTCTTGGGTCTGATTTACCCGTTAAATTCACACGCGTTTTCCATGCACAGATGATATTGACAGAGGCGACATCGTTGGCCTCGCAATGAAACAGACATGATACAAACATCTGGCTATTTACACGACGTTAGCACTAATACATCTTTACAATTATCTCCCCAAGTTCGAAAACAACTTCGGAAATGGTGAGTACAGCATTGCAAAAAAAAAAACACTATAGACAAAATATTATCTAATGGCTAACAGAGAAACATCGGTGACCTAGCACAGGGTGAGTATGACTCGAGGGGGAGGACGGGAGCCCGTTCCGGGCGGGCGGCGCGGGGCACAGCGCGGCGGCGGGCTCGGCTCGCCGCTCGGGCGCGCGCCGCCGCCGCCGCGCCATCAGCTGGCGCGCACTGACTTGGCGGCCGTGTCGTCAGCGCGCTCGGCGGGCCGCTTGGCGCGGCTGGCGGTGCGCGCCGCTCCGCCGCCCGGCACGTAGCGGTCCAGCGCGCTGGGGATGCGCGTCAGGTCCAGGTCCTGGTCCACCCTGTCCACCACCTGCAGCCTGCCGGACAGGGAGCACACAGCTACAGCACACCGCTCAGCACAGCACACTGCACACTGCCAACCGGAAAACACCGGGACGGTTACAACGGCTGAGGGTATGACTATACCAGGTGCTATCAAAAAGTTCCGGGACTCTGCTGTTTTCGTTCGAACGGGGTGACGGGTGGCTACCTGCACATAGGGATAACCGCAGGTTGTTTCTTCATTAGACAAACACTATTCGTTAGAATTGTGTTTTTCTATTGAAAAACAACCGTATGGACTAGCATTCATTGGGAGGTGTCGGTGCAAGTTTCGAAGCGCTACAATTATTCAGTCCTGTGCAACGCGTGTTTGAGTGACAGCCGCTGTTTTTCCAAGCTTCACACAAAATTTGACGTTCGATCTCTGCTCGATTTTCAGGTCCATCGTCTCCATCGCAGGACGGCGTCCGGAGGGTGTCACTCAAACACGCGTTGCACAGGACTGAATAGTGAATAATCGTAGCGTTTCGAAACTTGCACCGACACGCCCCAATGAATGCTAGTCCATATCCCTATGTGCAGGTAGCCACCAGTCACCCCGTCCGAACGGAAACAGCAGAGTCCCGTAACTTTTTGATAGCACCTCGTATAGTTAGGCGCGAGGGAATACGACCATTTACTGGGTGCCAAGAGAGCACCTCTTGCGGTTTATTCGCCTAATCCACCACCTCGCTACAAGAATGCTTATGGGGATGCATCGGAAAAGAGCTGCCATTCCAGACTGAGCTAATGTGTTGTTTTGAATAAAATCTTACAAGAAATGATTTTTCTTTTGACACAACTATCATATAAGGACAACTTTCACAAATTGACATATAAGGACCAACATATGAAAGTGTCTTAAAATGTGCATCGTGCGTAAAAAAGGATATCGGGCTATTCGACGCTACCAAAGCTTCCCAATTATATCCACAAGTAAGTAGCCTGCGAAAGTGGAATACATTTTGGCGCTCGTATTGCGGCACATTGACATCACCCATCTCTGCTGCTGGGTGCTGACAGACACCCACCTCTGCTGCTGACAGACACCCACCTCTGCTGCTCGGTGCTGACAGACACCACCTCTGCTGCTGACAGACACCCACCTCTGCTGCTGACAGACACCCACCTCTGCTGCTGACAGACACCCACCTCTGCTGCTGACAGACACCCACCTCTGCTGCTGACAGACACCCACCTCTGCTGCTGACAGACACCCACCTCTGCTGCTGACAGACACCCATCTCTGCTGCTGACAGACTCCCATCTCTGCTGCTGACAGACACCCATCTCTGCTGCTGACAGACACCCACCTCTGCTGCTGACAGACACCCACCTCTGCTGCTGACAGACACCCCCCTCTGCTGCTGACAGACACCCACCTCTGCTGCTGACAGACACCCATCTCTGCTGCTGGGTGCTGACAGACACCCACCTCTGCTGCTGACAGACACCCATCTCTGCTGCTGGGTGCTGACAGACACCCCCCTCTGCTGCTGACAGACACCCACCTCTGCTGCTGACAGACACCCATCTCTGCTGCTGGGTGCTGACAGACACCCACCTCTGCTGCTGACAGACACCCATCTCTGCTGCTGGGTGCTGACAGACACCCCCCTCTGCTGCTGACAGACACCCACCTCTGCTGCTGACAGACACCCATCTCTGCTGCTGGGTGCTGACAGACACCCACCTCTGCTGCTGACAGACACCCATCTCTGCTGCTGGGTGCTGACAGACACCCACCTCTGCTGCTGACAGACACCCACCTCTGCTGCTGACAGACACCCACCTCTGCTGCTGACAGACACCCACCTCTGCTGCTCGGTGCTGACGAACAGGTCGCCCTCGCGGTGCCGCAGCAGGTGCGCCGTGTAGGCCCGCTGGTTGTAGAACACGCTGGTGCAGCGGTTACAGCGGATCATGTCACTGAAATCGGCCGGCCGGCGGTCACACCACAGCAGCGGGGAACAACACTAGAGATCAGGCGCCTAGCTCTTGCCTTATTTCGTGTGACATTAGCTTCTACAGGGTGTTCCGAAAGTTTGACGACACGTATCAGCGTGGTTTCAAAGCCACGTACACGTGGTTTTGAATTACGATTACGAACCATGACAGGTCCGGCCTGGTCAAGTCGTAATAAGCTTCCGCTGCAAACAATATTTAGCCCCTAACAAAGATGGAAAATAGTTCTTTCTATATGAAATTATTTTCTAAAATTCCTTTCGTAAATAGGTATAAATTATGTTCTTTTACCTATCGTTTTATGCATAAAAAACCATCAAACAGTAGCGGAAAAAACTTATTTGAAGAAAGTGGTAGGTATATTTCTTTTTAATATTTTTTATTTCCTTCTCTTCTTCGTAAGACTCAGAAAAGAATATCTTAACACATGATACATGAGTCCGCATACTGTTCCATTTTTTACAACCCTAGTGTGCAATGTGCATAGGGGAGAGTGGGGCAAAGCGGCCACCCGGGGCAAAGCGGCCACCCATCGTTTTAGCCCTTCATAGCTGGCGTCAGTTCCAATTTATGGTTTCCAATTATACTTCTCTTCACGGTCGTTCGAATGAGCCAGACCGGGGTTTCAGGCCCATCACCATTGTTTTGTGAAACACGGAAAAGCATTTCATGCCAGGTTACCAACTATGTTTACAATTTTTAAATGTTATGTTATTCCATAACCGAATCTTTATAAGCGTTCTTGTCCATGCATTGGATGGTTATCGTACATGTATTCTACCAATTTTAATGTTTTTTACCCTACTAATAGCTAAGCTGGAATATTTTTGTCTCGGACGGTATGCGCGGGGCAAAGTGGCCGGGGCAAAGTGGCCACCCCCCCCCCCCCCAATTGGCCATAAGTTGCTTCCATCTGGTTAAAAACATTATTTATATTCAAATGTGTCGTCATGCATTCATTTTGGCCACTTTTAAGTTGCATGAGTTACCAAATAATGCAATTAAATGTTTATTTTCATGAAAATCCTTTCTTTGTTTACCAACAGGTGGAAGATGATAAAGTAAACATCCATCCTCGCTTAACCTTGTCACCATCAAATACCCTAGTCGTACACGAGGCAACTATTTTGTTTCTCATATCGGGACTTGAGAAGACGCCGGTGGCCGCTTTGCCCCAGGGTATGGGGCAAAGTGGCCAATATGCATAGGTTTAAAGTTTTGTCAATATCTTTCATATGTGAACGCCTTTGGAAATAAAACGCAGTTGAAATAAAAGGCAACTTAATAGGGATCACATTGGTATAGAAAGAATCTTTCCTAGTTTAAAAATCAAGCGTTGGCATCGTGAGAAGCGTTAGGGTGGCCGCTTTGCCCCACTCTCCCCTACATGCCGCCTCTCATGGCGCATCACCCGGCTGCTTCTATGCAGTGTATTGTTTTATCTAGCTAGTATGTTTTATCCTCCTATACATGTATTTGTATTTGTATTTTGATGAACTGTGACCGCATGCACAGGGCGCAGCGTACAGCTCTGTACCGAATTACCGATAATAATGAACTTTGCTTGATCCCACAGCGATCTACAGCAGATAAATAAACAAATATCCTGGTGTATGGGGCGGCGCGGTGGCGGCAGGCCAGTGACCCGGGCCGGCGTACCGGCTATGTACTGGCGGCCGAGTGGCAGCCCGGGGCAGTCGGACCCGGCCGCCCGTGGTCAGAGACGGGGCTGAGCGAGGGTGACGGCTGACCAGGCCACCGCCACCGCACAGCTGCGGCTGCGGCTGCACATACACACCACGACGTTCCACGACAAATCGACAAATAAAAAATTAAATTTGCACCCTCATATTTTATTTTTCGTTGAAAACTGGTGTAAGGGGTTGTGATGGGCGGGTAAGCCAGCTGTGGCAAGGATTTTTTTCTTCGAACAACGGTTTCCGAGATACAGCCTCGGGCAATTCCAGCAGGTCGCGCTGCAGCCCTATATTTGGCGGCCTATAACTCAGAAACTATTGGTTTTCTAACATAAAAACTGTATATGGTTCAACTCAAAATCAGCCAACAAACATTTTGGTTATCTCGGGTTTTCAATTTTTGAAAATTTTGATCACGTGACCTTTTGGCCTATTTTTCGAAGAGTGACCTTGATATTTTCCCCACTGAAAGTTGCAATTTTGTCTGATGACGATTAAAGCCTTATCAATTGCCATTCATATGCGAAAATAAAAAAGTGGATATCGCCCTGCGTTGACCTCAGGTCAGGTCATTTTTATAACCTGTCCATTATTACGAGCGGGAGCGACAGCGAGATCTCGAGAATAAAGCAAGATAGCGACAAGCGGTAAACGGTGCAGGGTACAAACGGATAAGGTCTATAATTTATACAAAGGTCATTTTCAGTTCAGGTCAAAGATGACGTCACAGGAGCAAAAAGGAAGTCAAAATTACGGCACTACATATATATGAAGTTTTTCTCGAATAACTTTCAAGGTATCCTAGCTAGGAACAAACTAATAGCACCATCGTGATCCTCTCGTCGATCCGCATCGAAATATATGTATGTTGACCTCGAAAGGTCGAAAGGTCAAAAGTTGACCTTAGGTCACGTGACCTAAGGTCTCTCACACCAGGACCGAGTCTCACACAACGGGACCGAGTCCCACCCAACAGGACCCAGTCTCACACACCAGGACCGAGTCTCACACACCAGGACCGAGTCTCACACACCAGGACCGAGCCTCACATACCGGGACCGAGTCTCACACAACGGGACCGAATCTTAAACACTGGGGAGTGGGGACCGAGTCTCACACATCAGGGACCGAGTCCCAGCCCTCTGTCCGGCCGGGTCCCACCCCTTTGTCCGGCCGAGTCCCATCCCTCTGTCCGGCCGGGTCCCAGCCCTCTGTCCGGCCGGCCGAGTCTCACCCCCGGCCCCCGGTCACGCACCTGGGCACCGTGTTGCGCTCGGCGGGCTCGTGTCGCTCCAGGTGGCGCACCAGGTTGTACTTGACCGTGTACTCGGAGCCGCACAGGTGGCAGTAGTAGCAGGAGCGCAGCTCGCCCGACTGACTCACGTCGATCTTCAGACTGGGCGGCGGACAGAACTTGGGCTGACCTATGCTGACAGACCTGCCGGCGCGCCGAGACCGGTGTCAGGAGACGTCACGACGCCGTCGTAGTCGTGTAACGCGTAACGATAACCCATGGACGTTTTCCGAGGCAGATCGGTATCGACCACAGGACTGAGCAGTGAGCAAGGAAAACATTGAGAGTGCAAAAAAATGAGCAGAGAAACAAAACGAAACAAAATAAATCGAAACATCGAGATCGCCTTTACCTGAACTATGTACATAAACTATGAGTGAATGTCTAGCAATAGCAACTGATCACGATGACATGGAGCGGGCTAATGGCGCCGAGACCCTCACAGCCGGGCGGGGCGGGCGGCGGGCGAGCTCTGACCTGCAGTGGACCGACTTGTAGTGATACTCTCTGGCCTTGTCCTGGTAGAAGACGGCGCCGCAGTCGGAGCACGCCGCCTCCTCGCTCGACACCTTTTCATCGCTGTGGCTCTTCACGTGCAGGTCGAAACACACCTGACCGAGCGGGCACACAGCGACACGTGTGATACGGCACAGCACACAGCGACACGTGACCACCAACCGGAGAGCTGACCTGACCGGAGTCGACCTCCCCCAAATGCATCAATACATCACTATATTGAACAAAACGAATATTTCTATGCTATGGTGCTTTGAAAAAGAGGACAGCTCTATCTGTAGATGTTGGACAGCTCACCCTCAGCGGAAACTGCTGGCCGCAGTACGGACAAAAGTGTTTGGCCGAGCTGTCCGGATGCATCTTGAACTTGTGCGTGATGGCGGCAGTCACGGAGGGGAACGACTCCGCTGCGAACACGGCACAAATTAGGCGGTCAGAGCGGCCGGACCCGCAGCTAGTCCCCAGATGGACCATACCCCTACTACCCTTCCGAGTACACAGCACGGCACACATCAGCCATCTGGCGCGCGGAGGCCGCCGCCGCCGCCGCCGCACAGTTCTGAGCACAGTGGGAGTGAGCTGTGCCGGGCCGCCACCCGTGCGGGGACGCCACCCACTGATCCGCGCCAGGTTCACCTGGTCTGGAACAAAGTCCTGTGAGCTACCCGCTATCATTTACCAAAAAGGTACCTATCAAAAACCGCCGCAATGTTTCGCACACACTGTGCGTCACGGTCACACAAGAACAGCTACCGCTACCGTAAAGGGCTCGCTGAAGCTACAGTACAACCTCCCAAATCCTGGTCGGCGGTACAGCGAGAGCGCTGCTGATGTCTGCGACTTCACACGAAACACAAGGAACAACAGTTCCTACCAGACACACCATATGATATAGGTCATACGGGCCATACCATACCGACATACGTGCATCATCCACTCATATAGTCATCTATCATATGCAAACTATACTGACACATGTGCTGTATGATTGTTGACGGACCGGCTGGCCGGCGGCTCCTCGGTTACGGTCCGGGCGGGCGCCGGGCGGCTCTACTCACAGCAGCTGTCGCACTGCCAGGCGGGCTCGTCGTGGTCGTGCGCCGCCGCCGCCTGCTGCTCGCGCTGCTGCGGGGGCGCGCCGGCAGAGACCGGCCGGCGGCCACCCTGCGGCACCCGGTTCCCCGTCCGCCGCTGGCGAGGCTTGATTTTACCGTTGGCATGGTCCCTGCCCGTGCAGAGATATTATTCACTGTGTGATTTCACGACGCATTGATCAACACCAAAAGGAATGCAAATAACAGACGAAGAACTAGCCTATAAAACACCTTAGTACACGAACAACAGCAAGCTCACAAACGAACACACGAACGACAGATAAGGAATTACGAGCGAGCGCAAGCGAGTCTCTTCAATATAACTGAAACATCTCAGCATAAGTGGCCTGGCCCGGCCTGTAGCGCTTTTGAGAGGCCTACAGCTCAGCAACCAATGCACTGGGCCGATAGAGCTGCAGTCTTTTTTGTTGGGTAGCCACATTCCCTCTGCCCCGTAATTGGCTACTATACGAGGGGGTGTCGAAAAGTTCTGATCATCACCATGAATTATATGTGACAGAAATTCGATTTTTACATGGTGTTCACTATTCCTTCACAAGTCACCAAACACGACTGCAAACTTCTTGCATCGCTTCTTGAGCTGCCTGAGGCCATTATTTTAGGAACCTTCGCACTGTCATGTACCTACATTACTGCTTCACCTAATTCATGACGTCATTTCTGCCATTTACCCGCGCCCTGAGGGAAGGCATTTTGCCCCCCGCCCCCCCCCCCTGTGGTTTTTCTTAAATAGCGAGAAAACGGTGGCGCACAGAGCCGCCAAATTTTCAGTGCCTTCCCGGGCATCAACTTGACACCTTCACACAATATTTCAAGTTACAGGTCACCTCAGGTCAGGAGTTATTGAGGTCAACCTGGGTCATGTTCTAGCATAACTGAGCAAAAAACATGACATCTTGAAACGCTCACAAAATCTACACTTAACCCGCGCCCCGCTGGGGGGGGGGGGCAGAATCTGCCCCCCCCTCCCGTTTTTCGCCAATAACTTCTAAGCGCGTTACGCCAGCGACGTCAAACTTTCAGTACCTTATCATACATCAATTTGATACGTTCCCTAAAAAGTTGAGCAAAATCCGTCGGAAATTTTTGAGAAATTGACGTTTTAGTGACGTCATGTTCGACATTTTCGCCTAAAAAACGGCAAAATTTCAAACGCCGCTAACATCTTCATTTTAAAAGGAATCACGACGTAACAAAAAAGGTTATACGTGATTCTACATTGTCTATCAAATGGCTATCTCGGTTTTTTTTTGAAAATTTTGGATTTTGGCCCAAATTTTTTCAAAAAACTGACTTTTTTTGGGGAAAATAATTATAAAATCCAAAATCTTGAGTATATCGAAAAAACGCAATATATGTCAGAGAAGTGGTCTATGTGCACCTACATACCAATTTTCAGAAGAATCGGTTCAAAAATGTGGGAGTTAATCAAAATTTTATGACGTCACGACACACAAAATTTTGAAAAAAAAAGATTTTTTTGGAAGTTCTAGACCTCGTAGGTAACAAAAATAGCACCATTCGATTCGCCGTGAAAAAAACTGCATCAGATAGACACCTTTTTAGGCCTTAACAACCAACTTCAAAATTTGACCTCACTTGACCTGACCTTCACCTGACCTCAGTGTCCCAAAATTATATTTTTGCTTGGGTGTCAGAGGGGAAATTGCTGACCAAAAAAAGGATGAGAGTGAAAAATTGTCGGTCAGGTAAGGTCCAAAAAGAGTGGGAAAATGATCAAAAACATAAATCTATCTACAATTGTGACAGATGCAAAACAACCATTCACGCAATTGCTCCTTCTCGGTGGATTGGGAGTGGAAAATTGGGCTTGAAAACTGGAGGTGAGAGTGGAAAATGATTTTCATTTGGATGTCGTTTCCCACCCACATCTACAAATTTTGGGACACTGCCTGACCTCGACCTGAAATTCATCCAGAGGTGGCCCATATCACTTATTGAGTGTGCCTATTGAATTTTATGAGTAAAATGACCCATAAAACATGTGTCGCACATGCCATTTTCTATATTTTGTTTTTGGTGACCTGACCTGACCTGACCTGACCTTGACCTTGACCTTTGAATGACATTGTATGTAACGAATATTGTCTCGGTAGTCTAAGAACACGTTTTGGGCAATCAATCTCAGTCCATTCTTCGGCAACTAACTACGGTGCAAGGTCGATACTGTAGAAACTTGCATTTTGTACCCTTGAACTGACCTTGACCTGACCTCTGACCTACTTAAGCAAAACATTTGGGCTCTTAAGATCCGCCTTGTTGAGAGCTTTCGATTGCCGTTTTCCCCGTCTTTCTACGACCTTCGGTTCGGAAGTTAGACAGGGGGAGGGGGCAGAATCTGCCCCCTCCAGCAGGGCGCGGGTTAACAAGCAATTTCAAAGTTCTTTATGTGGTCGTGTAGGGAAAAGACGGCGGTACATAACTGCTATCTCGGATTTTAAAAAATTTGGGGTTTTGACCCCCAAAAATAAAAAAAATGTTTTTTAAGAAAAACTCAAAAAATTCCATTTTTTTTTCGAATTTCGAAAAAATGCTATATAAATGAAATTCCCTGCGCTCTTCTATCTACATACCGAATTTTAGATCGATACCTACTTTTTTAGCCAAGTTATATTGAAAAAAAAACTTGAAAATTGATGTCAAATTTTTTAAACTCAATTTGTAGCAATTCTAGAACACGTAGCGCAAAACAAAGACCACCAAAGACTCCCCGTGACGAGCTGCATCGAATCGATACCCATTTTATGCAAAAATACCAAGTTTGAAATTTGACCTTATTTGACTTGACCTTGACCTGACCTTCACCAGAACATAACCTTTACTGGCCCCAAAGGCTGCCTGACCCACATAATCGCATTTGTCATGTAAAATGGATCATAAAACATGCAACACATGATATTTTCATATTTTGACCCTCAGTGACCTGACCTCTGTGACCTGACCTGGTATCAGTGACCTCATATTGCAAATTATGTGTTTTGTGGATAATTCTCCATCGATGATTCTCACTGACATGCATTTTACTCGATTTTACAACGCATTTCTTGAAATGCCTGTAAACGGTGAAAATTCGACAATTGACCTGACCTGTGACGCCATCGGTAAGACCAAGGTCAATGAAATTGGGTCACAAGGTTGTTCCCCGTTGGGACTATCCCACACCGTTTGCCGCTTGTCGCTATGTTGCGTGGTTCTCGAGATCTTGGGGGGTGCAAAATGCCCCCCCCCCCCATCAGACCGCGTTGCTCGGCAGACCCTATCAGTGCGCGGGTTAAAGCACCGGCCATGCTGTCGATTCTTCATTTAACAGAACAATCTAGTCACTTACTACCAGGTCAGATAAATTTGTTAGATGCGGAAGGATTTAATGCTCACATCGTGTTTGTTCTCAGAACGAATGGGTTCGCAGCTCAGTGGCAGGCGACTATTTTTCTGTTGGTAAAACTGGCCTCAGGTCATGATATTTTCCGGGCAGGTAAAAAGAAAAATGATTGGCTCGAGGGTACAATTTGGTCGTGATCCAAACGCCTTTTAAGTGAGCTTTTAACCCGCGCTGGGCCAGGGAACACCCCCCCCCCCCCTGCGATTTTTCGTAGATATCTCAAAAACGGCGACGCGGAGCGCCGCCGTTTTTTTTTTTTGTACAACTGCTCGTGCATCTTTTCATGTTGTGAAAATTGCAGACCCAGGTCGCTCTTAACCCTCCCCGGCACAGGGGGGGGGGGTGTTGATGTAACCCCCCCCCCCTAAGGTTTTTCGCGAATAACTCGCGTAAAAAGCGGCCGATCGCGACGAAACTTTCAGTACCCTCGCATTGATCAATTTTACACCTACCCTGACAATGTCATGACCCTGACCCAAATGACCTTTGACCTGTGACCTCTTTTCCGACACCATGTTTGACCGGAATCGCGATTCGGCGTATGTCGGCTCGCATTATAGCCGCGCGTTTGCAAGCTTTTCGTGGTTTCAAACGTTCAAACATGTGATTTGATGTTGCTCCCATACATTAGGGTGGGTGTCAAGGTCACCTGAAGGTCAGGTCAGGTCATTGACCTTTGGTGACCTCGGGTGACCTCGGTTCCCTTTTCGAGTTTTACATGTTTCTAGGCTAGTTTTTTTTTTTTTTTTTTTGCTGAATTCGAATTTAGTAACCATTTGAACATTTATGAAGCAGTTTTGGTGCCTTCGTAACATGTTACGAAGCTGTCAGAGGCGGTTGACACGTATTACGAATACCCGTCACAACCTCTACTGGTTGACCTGACCTGACCTTGCCCGACCTGGTCTAAATGCTTAAAGACATCATCTTTGATCAAAACTAACACGATATTCGTGATCAGCACCCTGGGAAACCACATAGCAGCCACACTTTACGACTTTCTAACAGGTCCCGATTTTCCCGGTTTTCGGGTCATTGACCTAACCTGGAAGGTCAACCGATGACCTAGGACCTTAAAATTGCGTATCATCGGCTTCCTCTCCTGACGGACAACACGCTCGTTTTTTCCGCGAAGCTCTAGCTCGAACAGGGGCCAAACGTGAAGGGGGGTCGTACCCCCCCCCCCCCCATCCCCCTTGTGCCGTCGAAGGACGCAAAATGGCCTGTGCCGGCGAGGGTTAAGGTCAGGTCGCCAGGTCAAGTCAAGTGACCTCACCTCTGAAGAAATTAGAATGTTCGTCATAGCTACACCGAGTGAACGATTGCCTTGAAACTTTCAGCGATATGCATCATATAAATCACGAAGTAAAATTATTCGCCTATGTCCGGAACATACCTATCTATATCGTGCTGTTTGCCCTAGCGCTCCTAGAATGGGGTATTGAGATACTCTAATGTGAATATTCCGTGTTCAGGCAAGTTCCGGCAGCCAAACTAAGGCGTTGTCTTGTGCAGGAGAAAGTGGCGAATTCGATAGGATATGTTTCGGAGTGGAAAAGTGTGGAAACATTGTTGATTTCCTACATTTATTTAGAATACCATTCCTTCAATATGGTGTCTGTAAGGTTTTTTTTTTTTTGTAAATGGCATTTTTGTGACCTTAGTAAGGTTGCAGCATACTTTCTGTTTGCCATTCCATTCCTAATA